ATCACTTTCGACAATGACAATGCTTTCGACTGACACCGGTTGTGCGTAAATGATTATATGTCAGGGTCGTTGTCGAAACAAAGGTCAACGTTTTATCTTCGCAACATATTATCACAAATAAATTTAACAAGCTAATAATATTTGATGCCACGACTGTTAACGTGTCGTTATGACAATTCAGCTGTGTTGTGGTTTTATTCCATCCACGGCTCAAGTCGTATAGTTAAAGCAACAAAACACAAATAAAATGCGTTTGCGTTATTTTAAATTGCTACTTAAGGTTTTCTGCCACGGTGAAAATAAAGTCGTGACCACCAAATAAAGATAAAATAAGAGAAAAATTACAATAAAGCTATGTTTATATACCAAACTAGTGAATACAATCGAACCGCCCGTAAGCAACCACCCAAAATGCGTCGAAGACTTAGTGGTCGCTTTATACGGGAGTCGAACCACGGGCGATTTCTTCCGAGAAGAAGTCCGGACAGATCTTCTTTAAGGAAGAGACTTTATTGCGTGCAATTCCAAGTTGCGATATGTGCAGTTCCATGTTGTTACTATTAAAAGTTCTTCGTATATTAAAAGTAGGATAGTACACACGGAGACCAAAAGAGATCACAAAACTCATCAAGTTGTCGCTTACAAGAGGTTGAAAACAATAGAAAAGCATTAAACCGTTAGCTCCAAATAGTGGTCGCCGTCGCTTACAGGAGGTAGTCGTTTACGAGCGGTTCCAACTGTAAGACTTAAACTGGGAAAATTTTGGTGTTTTGGATAGATGGTCGCGTACGAAAGGTGGTCGCACATAGAGATTCGATTGTAGTGCTTTTCGCGCTGTCTGATTGGCTGCAGTTCGGGAGGCGATTATCCTTTGCTATCCATCTCCCAGCAGAAAAGGCGTCTGTTTTGCTTTAGTGTAACGAAAGCGGAAAAACGTTTCACAGGGTTCGTTCTCTTTTGAGCTCTTTAAATTCCATGATTTTCTATGACTTTTTCCATGACCTTCTTACGTTTAGCTGTCGCTTTCGAAAAGTTTCAAAACAATCCTCTGGAAACTTTTCGAAAGCGACAGCTAAACGAAGGTATTTTTTTTACATAACTCAGTTCAACAAACAAAGAATCTGTTTAATGACATGACTTTGCCATAATTTTTTCTTGCTTTGACATCTTCAGTGATTAATCTAACAAACACAGCTCTAATTTTCCATGACTTTCCATGCAGGCCTGGAAAATGAAATTCGTAAATTTCCTGACTTTCAGGGTTTTTTTATGACCTGTACATCCCTGGTTTCTTGAACCAGTCCGCGTGATAAGACATGGGCTCAAAAAGTAGTTGTTTTCTTTTTTTTTTCAAACAACAGTTAGAACAGGGTTACATAAGTGTTTGCCCTTTATTCAGCGGTTCGTTTTTTCCAGCCTGTTAAACCATTTTTGACCATACTTTGTTCTTTGTTTTGATTAATTTTTGACTTTTCACCGGGTACGTGCGCGTGCATACTAGCGTACAGGTATAGTAACGCCCCCTTGTTCCCCTATTTAGGGCCTGGTTACATGGAGATGGGGGACCCCAGATAGGTGAGGTAAGATGCGGCGGGTCACCCAACCTATCATGTAAACGTGATCAAATTAAAATGGGAGATTATATACAGAGGCAAGCTACCCCACCTAAGCGGGTTACCTCATCTTCCTGGGGGCCCCCACCTCCATGTAAACAGGCCCTACGTCCCTTTTTGGAAACAGCGTGGCTGAGTCAGTGTCAGCCGGTCGAAAATTCGTTCGGTGCCGTGTGTACTAGGTAGCCTTAATTTTTTGTGTCTGACCTTGTCTGTGGGCCACACCTATGTAAACTAATGGGTCACCTGTAATTATGGAGACAAAGGCATTCGACTTGTAGCCAAGTCTACCACAGACTCAAATTGTACAGTTGGAACCTATTTCACTCACGTAAAGGTAAGGTAAAGGCCAAAACTGCCGGGGCTTACCCCGGTTTCCTTAGCTTGAATCATGCCTAGGAGTATTGCTACCTCCTCCCTGGACGGGGTGCTAGTCCATCGAAGGGTTACCCCCTGCAGTTGTCGCCGGTACCCATTTATACATCTGGGTAAACCTTTAAAAAAGGAGCACAAACAGACTCTAAAATCTAGAACCATTTACCCAGATAAGATAATTTATAAGAAATGATGAGCATCGCCAGTATTGTCAAAATGGCGATGGCAATGGCGATGGTTTTGAAAACCATGTTTTGGTACGTGACAAGATAAGGAGAAGAGAAATACATTAGTTGGGCTCTTATATTTCAGAGCCATCGTAATGTTGTAAAATATTATTATGTAAATGGTGGTTCTAACTTTAAGTCCGTGGATTTAATAGTAAAATGTAGTCTTTCAAATGAAGACTGCTGAGGGAAGTCATAAAGATTTGCATATTTTGGCTATAAAAGGTACGTCCTTATACTGTTGACGCTTAAGAAGTGGCTAATTTTCTTTACCCGGCCATAGCTACCCACTGGCGCCACCACTAGAGGCCTTTCTCAAGAGAGTTAAAATGAAAGTTTTTTCGCATTATGGGAGGAAATATTTCGTTAGTTATGAATTGAAACAATGATTTTAGGTGCATTTTCTACGTCTAAATGAAAACTGAATTAACTGAACTAAGCTCCGCGAAGTCTGTTCAGACCAAACGCAACACACAAGGAAACAAGAGAATTTTAGTCAACTAAAGGCTACTTAATATCTAGTTACGTAAGCATTGAAATCTTGAATTCTGACAATCATGAAACAAGTGTATTGTATTCGAATGTCTTGGAAGTTTGCCTTTTATTTTCTACTTACCAAATTATGAATATTAATTCTAAAATGTTCGGACGGAAAATTGATTTGACCACGTTCTTATGAACAGCCAAATTATTGCAGAAACCAATCGAAGCGCAAGGAAAACAATTGTCACTGGCTGATCGAAAATTCGAGAATGGGTTTGCTTGGGGAAGGGAGGGGGCGGACGCTCATTACAAAGTCATTACAAAACAAAATTACTTATAATTAGAAAAGACAACCCGCCACAATGAATTATCTTCTCTCGTCTATATAAAAAACTAAACACTTGGTAGGTGGATCACAAAGTGAAATCTGAACGTTAACCATTCAATACTCTGCGTTCGTCCTTTCATATTTTAATATTTGTTATCAAATGTTCTTCAAGGAACAACGTGGTACGCTCTTGTTTTATGGCGTGTTATCCTTATTTTCGATCTTTCGAGAAAATACACGTCGTTGGGAAGCGTGAGAAATTAAAACATCTGCATTAAAACCTGCACCTGGCAGAAACGGCGACTAGGTATTACAAAGGCTCGCATCTTATCAGACAATTAACCACTACAGACGAGATGGACACATTTTTGCCCAATAACCCGGTTGGATTAACAAGACAATGTAATGTCTTAAGTCCAGCCTAATGTATTCTCCCACAATCGACTCGCGCTGAGTTTCAATTAAAGCTGCCAACGACGTGCAAATATCAATCCAGCGACTGAGGCAAATGCGACTACAGTGACTCATCAATGTCGTTAATGTATTTTCTTAATAAAGACCAAACGCATGGAAAAAGCAAAACATGTTGTCTGCAGATTTAAAAGGAAGACGACGTCACCGAAAGGAAGGCAAAAATAATTTTTTTCATTCATTATTGATGCCTAAAGAATTACCAGCAAATGGTAAAACAGCCGAGCGAGTGTATATCACAAGAAACTCTGACCGTTTCATGAACTAAAAAAATACTAAAATAAAAATTAACGACAGTCGACTTCAACCCCCGAATCCAAACGTACCAAATTTCTCGATCAACGGTCCATGACTAAAAGGGAACATGCTGTACACGAATATCATTATACTGAGTGTTCACCAAGAGGTATTCTCTCGGTTGACAATCAAAAATTGCGACCAAAAAATTGTGTTTCGCTTATGAGTAGTGCTGAGCTCAAGATATCAATTTAACGAATAATGCTTTTCGATTTTTTACAGCCTTAAAATTTTCACACAAAGTTAACGTTCAGCTCTTTGGTCGCCTGAAAGGTCGCTCATTGGTAGAAGCTTCTAATGTAAAATGATTTAAACGATCTGTTGTCAAGGACAGCGGAACACGATGAGGTTACGACTGGATAAAGTCTTGGGATATTAATAAGGAGTTAGTATAACAATTGTTTCAACCTGATTTTCTTTCTAGGTAACTAATGGACAAACTGCGATGATTCTGCAAGTTTTCAATTCCAGATAAAATATCCTCTTTTTCACAAAAATCAAAATTGATTAGTTATCGTTCGCTTTAACGTGACAAATCTTGCACTTTTACCCCAAAGGCTTTGTGGGTTTTTATTCCAATTAAAGGAGACAGACAAAGCAAACCATGCCGTGAATCGGCATTAGTCACCCTAGGGGCTCTTGAACAATATAGTATGACAGAAATTGCTTGCCTTAAAATTAGAACCGAATCTGCGAAATTTGTCTGTATTTGCAAAAGAGAGTCCTTTTTTTGCAAAGACAATCACAGAGGAATTGAAGTGCTTAATTCTCCTGAGAAAATCATGCCAGAGCCTCGTTTAAAATTGATTGATCGACACCTGTTTATCTTGTTCTTTTTTTTTTCTTTTCGACGTTCCGTTTACTAAAAAAAGGTTCAGCTCCTGAGAAGGACGACAGTGTCCTACCAGGCTGACATAGCTTTGAGAAAATTACATAGGATTTCACAGCGGCATCTGCGCTTGTAAACTGCTTTTAGACCAACCCATTCGCAAAGTAAATAAATATCATCTGCTGGAGCGGATAGCCACTAAGTGACAATATTCCGGCGATGCTTCGGGTGCCATTTATTCGATGGGTTAGAAATGTTTCTGGTCCAGCTCTTCAGTCTCAGAAATTAGACTACAGTGATTACACTGTCTGAATATACAAATGAGCTTCTCCTTAAGAGCACCTTTGCAAAATGGACAATCGTGTAATGAGTAGTGTCCTCTAGTGTCCACCCCGACGTCTTACTGTACTCATGCATGACGTACCACAATTAACCGTTTAACCTCAAAATTCACAAAAATTTCATCCAACACAAGGCCAAATTATTGCAGAAGACGTTTCGTTTGCATGGTCACGCTAAGGATTTCGTCCGCATCGGCAAAAATAATTGACCAACCTCTAGTTTCTCCCTATCAGCAAACGTATCAGACACAAGTAGAGAATTAATGAAATGATCGCTAAGAAGTAAAGGTGCACACCTGCACATGTGCCCACAAGGCCGGAGCCTTAAACCTGCGCCGGGCATCTCGGAGTACGGCTACTGCCCGCTCCTGGACGGGGTACCAGTCCATCACAGGGCTATTCCCAGATGTGTCTCGCGTGTCTCGATTACACACCTGGGCGAGGAGAGACAACAAACAGGAGCAAAGAAACAAGAAAACGGTAAGGCTTAAACCTATACAGAGATCGAAGTGGGAGGTAACTGCTCGGAAATTATATACTAAAGCATGTCCTGATATTTCCACAAATTCTCGACAATAGTAGTATAAGAAAAGAAAGCAAACAGTGTGGAGAATATAACTACTGTTATTGGGCTTAAACGCCAGAGATTCAAGGAAACATCTCATTGGAGACAGTATATTTCCGTTTTGATGTTTTCTGTGCGACACAACGCATTGGGGTTGCCTCTCATTGGACCAAAAACAACAACAACAACAACAGCAAGTTCCTTGGCTTTGTGCAAAATTTCCTGACCACGGAGAGAACAAAAAAGAGACTTTCTTCCAATTGGAAAATCTCAGACAGCGGCAACTGCGACAAACCGTTTTTTCCTTACATTTCCTCGTTTGTAGCGATGGTTGGAAGGATCTAACCAATATGCCTTAAATTGTCACTACCGACGCAAGCCCAGCGGGCTAAAAAGCTTCCCTTATTTGCCAAATCATCCTCAAGAGGTTATCAATAAATAACTGGTGCAAATAGATTTCTCTGTTGCAACTAACACACATCTCAAAACGATTTCCCTAAATCCACAGAAATTCAATCTAACGTCAGTTACTTTTATTAAGGCCAGTTTCGAGAAAACAAAAGAGCAGCTGAGGAGAGTGGTGTTGGTTTGGGGTAAGGGGGAGGGGGAGGGGGGCTTGCTAGAGGCCATTCTCTCTACAATACCATTGCTGTTCTTATTTGCAAAAGGTGGGTATCGTAATTGCAAAAACAGAAAAGACTTGTTAAAGCGAAACAACTTAATACCCACCAAAAATCATAATTTTTGGTACGAAATCAATTTTGGTATAGATAAGTCTAAACCGGTATCAATAAAACCGGTAAAAATTATGTGAAAATAAATATAAATACATAAAAAATATGTAGACATAATCCCGAAAAATAAGCTGCTAAAAAGCGTCAACCAGACCATAATTTCGAATTTCAAGCGCGCTAAACACTAAAAATTAAATACAAGCTTAAATCAATACTGACAAGACACTGGGATGGCCTTTTTTAACAAAGTGGTCAGTTTTATTGCATAGTTTTTGTATAGCAGAGTGTTTTAGAGAACTTAGAATAAATAATTTTAAAGAAATATTCCGTCAATGCGATCAAATACGTTTTCATCTATTTTTGTGTCAAATTTTTTAATCAACAGTGTGACTTGTATGCAAATTTCTGAATTTCGTTCTTTTAATTTTTACTGCAGTGTTTATTTCTTACATTGCAAATATTACTGCGAATGGGTGCTCCTATTTTATCCTTTTTTTTTGCAATAAGTTTCTCCGTGCAATTTCAGTACAATTTCTATAAGAATTTTAGTGGATCTATGATCGAGGCGAGTGTCTATTTCATCGCTAGAAAATAACATCTTGTGTTATAACAATGCAACCGTTCAAATCAGTGGATACGAAAATTATTTCTCAACCGAACAAAAAATACTGCCGCGGTGTGTTTAAAAAGCTGCAATTTTCGACTGGTTCGTCGGATTGGGTATATACAGTTAGCAATGGTGAGCAGCATCGATTCACGAAGGACTTGAATTCTAAAACGAATGAATGAACATACATTGTCTGTTTGTTTAAAGAAAATAGAATTCTACATTACACTGTATGAATATTAATAACACCAAGATCTATTTACATCAGGAATTTCTTCCACCGGTGGCAAGGCCATCCATACAGAGACATTTCTTGAAAATTCAAACAATGTTCCTCTGCTATTAAATAAATTCACTTAAATTTCACCATGTTTATAACTGTCAATTTGAACTGGGGCAAAGAACCGACCTCCACCTTCACTTTCGTATGACTCGTAGATTTCTGTTTTCATTTTTTTTTTCCTTGTTCTTTTTTAATCTTCACGCTGAAAAAAAGAACATTAGTGATGTTGGTTTGACTGAGTCGGCAGTTTGGCTAGAGGTATCATGCATGTGCCTTTTTCCTGTCCTCGCTACAATCTTTTTTCAGTTTTCACAACGATCGAGGCTTGGATTTTTTCCATCTGCTGCGTTTTCTTGCCAGGCGATAAATCCCCCGAGTCAAAATGCACCACCAATTGTAGCAGCCGCAGAAACCTGGCCATAAAACCCACTTAACATCCACAAAACCAGAGAAGAGTGGAGTCGAAGAAATTGCCCCATGGCAGTGTGTCCGCTAGCTTTCAATTTATTCAACAACTACTAAGCGATTCCTACAGCGGGTTTGAATAAATTTCTCCATCTTGTGTATATTTCGCAGTGTTTGCCCTTCAGCATGAATTCGAAACTCTAATTCATTTCATATTGCTTTCTGTTGCACTTGATAGCGACGTGACCGCGTTACTTCCTTTGGTGGGATTTTCTAGTGCGAGGATTATGTCCTGATGGAGGTCGATATTTCTTTTGTGATCGGCATTGTTCGCTGTCTGAAAAACCTTCAGTTCGCCGATTTCCTTAAGAAGTTTTAATGTATCTTCGTTCACCATTTGAATCGTCGGCGCGAGAACCGATTTTTCATGTTTCTTCGAGGCATCCTTGCGGTTGGGATGTACTCTTTGCGCTGTCGAGCTTGTATCGCTCGAGGTATTTTCTTCATCCCGTTTCTTTGATGGTAGACATCCCATTATACCACGCTTAAAACACTCTCTCATCTACAGAGGGAAACATCGCGATTACTGAAATAGCATTAACAATCAGTTTGCCGCCGTAAAAAAACATCGTGTTCTGTATCCATGGCTCTCACCCGATCGCTTTTGGCTGTGTTTGTAGCTCAATTGCTTCAGATCACCCTCTATATATTGCTGGACGGCATTTAATAATTAACTAAGGGAGACAGACGTGTTTGCCTTGAAATGACGTCACTTTCTGTTGTCAGAGCTGAATTTATGCACAGTTTCTGTTGCTAATGTGTAAAAGCGGGATTTTTTGTTAATCATATCGATTCTCAATTCAAGGAGGAGTTATCAAATTCGCGCAAACCTCTTCTAGACGAAAGGTCACGCAAGGAAAACAGAGTTATCTATATAAATCAGCCAATATTCAACTGAACTACTCAAGCTCCTTATAGAAGTTAAAATAATACTTCATTCAATGTTCATCGATCTTGAAAATGACTTCAAAATAACAACAGCTGAAAGCATATTCATGTTAGAGTGGGAATGAATTTACACATCATCGAGTCGATTTTTTTGGTTGGAACCGTACACTAAGAGGGACATATGCTGTCAAAATACGCTGAAAATAGAGTGACCGCAAATGGAATTAATACCATCTGAGCCACATGGAGAACTTTTCATCTCCGACGGCATCGAACGTCTTTTGTGGACTTACTAAGTTTTGGAATAAAGGGGATGAAGTAAAAAACCATAAGAATACCCAAACTTGCCTGATGATATAATTTCACAGCAGAGAAGAAGAAAGAAGAAAATGCAAAAACACTTACCTTTCCCATATGCACCATAAATGCCGAAATAGAGAAGAAATGAAACCTCGGAGGCAATTTTCGTTTTTTAAGTTACGCGAGAAGTTTGTGTTAACGCGCGAAAGCGAAATACATGTATAGCTGCTTGAGTTGTGCAACTTATTCCACACTGAACGTGGCCAGCTTACGAAATAACACTTCAAAGCGAGTGGGCTATAAGACAGTAATTTGTCATGACGTAGATAATTCCCCGGTGAGACTGATACGCATCAACTGTCGTCGATGTCACATTCGGTATTGATAAGTATATCACGCACATCGATGGACCGGTCTTGCTTCAATGTAGGTCACGCCTTTGAGTCTTGCCTAAAAATACGCCAGCAAGCGAAAAAAAAAATGATGTAGTAAGGAGGAAGTAAAGGTATGCTGAAGAATATATTAAGTTTGGCTGTCAGCATTTGCCTCGTCAGGAGGCGTGCGTGTTTTCTCGAAAAACAATCAAAGCGGCACTAATCAATGATCCAACCCACCGAGTCTATTTAAAGAGCATTATGTTTTCATTGTTGGTTTTAATATTGAGGATTACATGACCCATTGTGGACCGCGGTTGCTGTAAATATTCTCCGTAAATCGATAAGAAATCACAGGGTTGGGTGTTCGGCGATTATTGGGTTAAAAACCGAAACAGCGTTTCCCAAAAGTACGATGGCATCGCGTGTTCTCGAGAACGTTCGGTCCAAGCCGTGACGTATACTAAAATACAATCACTTCGTCAAGGCAAACTGTACTCAACATATAAAAGAACGTTAAATTAAACCCAACACGCACATCGGGGGCCCTCAGGGAAACCGCACTTATTATAAATTCTTTTAAACTTTGAAAGTTAATCACGGGGACACGTAAATATTTTTATCTACGACCTTCTAGTCTGTGGACGGAACCCTCTAGCGTGACCATTCAAATACAACCTCTTCGGCAGCCCTTCATCTTAGTTGTACTCGTTTATTCGATATTGTCCAAAATGAAATTTGGGAATTTTCTTGTGGTAATCGTCGAAGAAAATACTGAAATAGCAACGGCTGATATTGGCCTAGTGACGCACGTCGGATAACGTTGCCAAGTGCAAAATAGGCAAGGCAAAAATAACGTCTAGAATTTCAAAACTTCAAGCCATTTTAGAGAAGGTCGTCTGAAAGAAAATATCTTAAGAAGAATGCTGTCAATGTTCATTGTTTGAAAGCGAACGAGCTAACAACAAAGTACGTCAAAAGAAATTCAGTATCCGTGGTAACCTTTAGTTACATAACATAACCTTACGTTACGTAAGCTCCCTATGGTCTAAACCAAAAATAACAGTCAAAAACGAGAAAAAAGTCTTAATGCATTGAAGACATCTATTAAAGCAAAAGTGTTAAGGAAGAAACAGTGGACGGACTCCAATCTGACGTGTTCAAATATTCGAAAAAACTGGTTTCGAAGCTTGTGGGCTACACTCTTCATAGACCTAGGGCAATAGGTAGAAGTACAAAATCCCTCTAACAACCTGTATATTTGTCATACAGTGTTTTCTATTTACTTCTTTGAGTTGACTTAGGAGAATTTGTGAAGAGATCACGATATTTTGCCTTTTGCAACAACTCTTTTATATAAACTTCACATGCGACTAAGTAACTGACGGTGCTGAAGAACTCAGATACCTGTTATTAAAACTTCATTTATTTAGGAAGACCTCGAGCGGGAATGGTGGATAAAGTGAAGGATGGGGGCCCTTACGTAGCGGTCATGAGGCGCGCCTTCGGACCGGCAACTATAAGGAAGGACCTGCCTGTGAGCAGAACACACACACACACCCACCAACAATTGCACTTCAACCTCCAGCTTAGAAGTGCGTTGCTGGAAGTTAAGTTCGCACAACCTCTTAAATTTGACATCTTTGTATTTTAACCTTAGTTAACAAGCATTTTTTTGTGTTCACATGACCTTTTTCAGTAAAAGTAAAGATAATGATTTCACGTATTTTACGTTGCTACCCTTAGTATTATGTCCTGTCAGCGAGTGTGCTCAAATTGTGGGTGAATCCTTCAAAAAATGTTAGATTATTGTAAGCATTGTTAGCATCTCAACCCTGCTAGTGAGCGGTTACTAGAGTTAGAGGGTATTTATTTATTATTTATTTTATTTCATTTGCCACACAATAATTATAGAAAATAACAGGAAAAGTAGAAAAAAAGAAGTGGCGAGGAGACCTGACAGAAACTATAGGAGCTTATGAGAGGTTACGCCTCCTCGAACTACGGGCTAAGAGCTGTTTAACTTCAATTGAAGAAAAGATGATGGAAAGATTTATGAACTGTTTTGCAGAGCAACAATCAATTAAAGGTCTGTCCCCTTCGAATTACAATTGGGGGTGACTACGCACAAGATTGAGACATTGAGAACGTACTTTAACACGCGCGAACAAGAAAAACAGAGAATTAATGCTGTGCTATGGTTAAATGAACATGGGCGACATGATTCACTCAGAGGCGAAGTCGAAGTCCAGAATATGAACCCAACCTGCGGGGATCCCATTGACGTCTGTGAACTAATTGATTCGAGTAACCGTTAGCAATTTGTAGCTATCTGCAAGCAAGCACTATTGAGAACTCAGAACTAATGTCCAGATTTTAAGTCTAGCTACGTCTGTTACTTTCAGGCGGTCAATGTTCTGCGTTGCTATTCTGATCAGATAATGGAGCCCACATTGTAATGAGGGCAATTAATAGATATTGGATTTTCCAGACGTAGTACAATTGATATGTCCGCCTCAAAGAAGAATCCACGTTCTTTTTTTTTTATAGAAACATCTAACTATTTTAAAACCAAGGCCTAGTCAGAGCTAAAAGCTTTTTTTTAGAGATATCTGAGTATCAGGATACTCCTAGATAATATGTTGAAATATTTTCAATTACCTGTTTTAAACATAAAAACTGCATTGCTGTCGTAACGATATACATAAATTACTATTAATACTGTTGTCGCAACCAGTGAACCATTGGGTTCACGTTGACTTGTTCCATCTCATCACCTTGAATTGTTTCACATAAACTGGTCTTTCTCTTACTTAGTTTATTTCTACTCTCTCTTCCCTGGTTTTTGCTCCTTAATCGTAAACCTTGCTATATGCGAACTTTCACCTATTGATTACTACTCACTTAGTTTCATTTGGTACTATTTGTTTGTTTGTTTGTTTCGAAATTTTGTTGAATCTTAAGTTTATTCGGGAGTGAGAAGTAATACGCAAAGGAAACTGAGACAGGCAGTAAGGTAATACAGAAAGAAACTTTCAAAACTGAACGGATTATATTTTACTCTATCTTTCTTTCTTCTTTTTTTTTTTTTGAATCGTATCAATTGGTTTCTCATTCTTCTAAAACGGGAGGAAATAACAAAACAATAATGCCAAGGAGATTCGTCATCGTGATCAAGCTAAGAGGAAAAAACAGATGACGTAGGTTTTATCGATGTGGGAAGCGCTCCCTTCCCCTCTCTGATAAAAAGGAAACTATAAGCTCACATTTATATATGGAGGCAAGAAATAACGTCGATGACACGGCCAAAAAGTTCTATA